TTGGCCCATGAACTCTAGCCCTTACAGGCTAATTCTCGCACCTGGACTAGCCCATTTCTAATGATGTGTGTAAGCACCCCAAGGTGCGCTTACCGGGAAGATTCTAGCCTAAGTCCATCGTGGGTTGCAGCTGCCTGGGAGAGCAGAGCATGGCGGCTGTCCGGTCCCTCTGGAAGCAGCGCAGAGTCTGACCTCACTTCCTCTTCCGCCCAGCATTCTATTCTGTTTACTCCTCCCATCTATGTTCTAACCTATCAGGGCCAGCCAAGCAGTTTCTTTTATTGTTCAGCCAATGAAATCAACAGATTGATATGACACTCCCCCATCATATATGTATGCACATACAAACACACACTAATAAAAGAAAATGTATAATATTTGCTTATATAATCAGAAGCTGAATAGTCTCACAGTGGTTGGTTGAACACTGGAGTAAAACCAGTAGCTGCCCAGTCTCAGAAGCTCTAAGGTACAGAAAGAGAAGACAAATAAAGTACCCAGTGTGATGCTAGTAATCTGGAAGCCCTCTTGGAGAGCCTGTAATGTAAGTGTGAATTTAAAAGCTAATGAATCCATGAGACTCCTAACAATGGGAGCAAGGGCTATTCTTCAGTTTGGCTGGCTTTTGGGAACCTAGTCCTCATACTGGATAGATTTGTCCAACCTTAATACAAATGGAAGTGTTTAACCCTACTGCACCTTGATATTCCATGCTTTGATAGTCATGGGAGGCCCACTTCTTTCTGAATAGAAACAATGAAGGAGTAGAATGAGGTATAGAGGGGTTGAGGGAGGTAGTGGGAGGAGAAAAGTGGGGGGAAACTGAGGTTGTTATGTAAAATAAATAAATTAAATAGAAAGGCTGATGAATCTAGAGTCTAATGTCTGTAGGCAAAATGACAACAGCAAAATTTCATTGGCTTCAGAAGAGTTGAGCATATAAGAGTCTGCCAGCCTCCCTCTTTTCTTTTGATTCACCCCAGGTCCCCAGCAAACATTAACCCTCATATATACCCCCAGCTAATTTTATATCTCCGAGGAGAGATCAAGATGAGCATTTTTAACAAACCATCAGATCATTCTAATGTTTCTGCTTCAGAGATCATAGTTTGAAATGTCTTTACAGATCTTATTATTGTCTACCTTGGTAGATTAAAATCTGAATTCTCTGTCATCTGGGCTCTACTTCTATAGGTCTATTCTCTTCAACCATTTATCTTTTCATTCCATCCTGACTTTCAGTTGGGTTCTCAGTTTTCTCAAGATTTACCTCAGGGTTTATACCACTTTCCTGAATATTCTGTATGCAGATTTCTGCATGCTACTCCTTAACAGGTCTCTGTTAGAATGCCATCACTTATGAAAGGTCTTTCTGGAGCAGCAAACCTAAAGAAGCCCCCTCCATCTCTAACCTCAGTCTCCAACCCAGTCATTTCTAGATACCTGTGATTTCACTGTGAGCATTACTACCTGGCATTATTTTTTAAAAACATTCATCTTGCTTACCTTTTTATTACTTTTCTTTTGTTAGTGGTTGGCATGTTGGAGGAATTAACTTTTAGAAGATGGGTAGAGAGGTATGAATGGATAAATTATTATCTACAAGTATGTGAGTAGACTTTCAGAAATAGGAACATAGAGAACTAGTTATTGAATAGAAACAAATGGGAAGGGAATAACCCGAGGGGCTTAGATTAGCATCTTCATTCATAATAATTGTAAACATTGCAGTGTTAGTGACCAGATATACTCTTTAGCATAAATTACCACAATTTACTTGAATAGTGTCACATTTATGATTAGTTTTCTACCTCTGTGACCTAGGTTTTTGTGAAGCTTTCTGATTTTATAAATTGCACATCATCTGATTTGTATGGCAGTTTTTCTTTCTTTAACCTAACCTGAGTAAAGGTACTCTCTCTCTCTCTCTCTCTCTCTCTCTCTCTCTGTGTGTGTGTGTGTGTGCGTGTGTGTGTGAGCAGTGACTAACTAAAGTTTCTAGGGAAAAGTATGTGGGCTTCTGATGTGAGCCCAAAGGGGAACGGACCATTTGGAGATGTACAATGGAAAAAAATAGTGTCTTTGTCACTGTTTTATTGCCATGAAGAGTGCTCATGATCACAGCAATTCTCATAAAGAAAAATGTAAACATTAGTTGGGGCTGGCTTACAGTTCTGAAGTTTAGTCCATCATCATGTCAAGAAGATGGCAGCATGCAGATGGACATGGTGCTGCAGAAGCTAAGAGATGCATTGTATTAGCAAGTAGCAGAAAGAGATTGTGTCTCACTTGGCCTTGCTTGAGCTTCTGAAACCCCAAAACTCAATCTCTAGAGACACATATCCTCCCACAAGGCCACATCTCCGAATAGTACCATTTCCTAACAGCCTATGAGGGCCATTTTGTTGAAACAACCACAGATAGTGAGAAACAGATATGTTCAGTAGAAGATATACAGGGTTCAATTAAGTAAGTAAAGGAAACTGAGGGTTGAGAGAAACCTGGTTAATATGAAGTTCCTTTCCTAATGGTTTATGCAATGGTTGTATGCCTTTTTTCTATTATTGTCTTTGTTGTGGAGCTATGTGCTTCAGATTTGGACCAGTAAGACTTATTGGGTACCAAGCCACATTCTATTACCAACTAATTATGAGCAGATTTTTTTTTAAAATCTCTGAGCCTCAGTTTCCTCATTTTAAAAATGAGTGTCAACAGAGCTGGAGTGAAGTATACCATTGGAAGAAGCATGCTGATCTCTTTAGCCAGCCTTTTACAAAGTAGAACATATGGCTGTCACCCGTCCCCAATTCTGTTGTCATTTAGAGGTCACTAGGAAAGTGGCAGCTTAACCCTGCTCATAAAGACATTGAGTCATGTATTCTCACAGGTATTTTATGAGAGACCACTGTTGTATATTGCAAGAAGGTACTCTAATAAACCAACTTACTTGGATAAGTTCTCTGCATTAGAAAATGGTATGTCAAATCTTGCCAGACTCCAATTGCTCTATTTAATCTTTTATATGCCACACTGCTATCTGGGTCACTATGGCAGAAGTATTTATTTCTAATGCTAAAATGCCAGTCTACCAAGCTAGTTCTATTAATATTCTTTTATTTCCAGTCACTTGTCTTATAGAAAGAGCAGTCATGCAAGCCTCAGGTAGGAATATATTAGTTACACAAAACTAATATATTCTCACCATCAATTTCATTTTTCTATGAGAATCTATCTTTGTATTTAAAATAAAATATTTAATTCATTTTTAGAGAATTTCACATATATACATAAGGTATTTTATCATATTCATCCCTCCACTATTTCCTCTCATTCCTTCATATCTACCTCCACTTCTTCCCAACTTCCTGTCAGTTTTAATTTACTGATTTTAATTTGTACAGCCCACTTGCTCATGGGCATAGAGCTGGAGCATGGTCAACCTACTAGATGTAATTAATACCTTAAAAAAACTGACCATATTCAGAAGCCATCAGCTATCAATAATTCCTCTGCTAGGAGTGGAGGCTTTTGAGCTTCCTCACCATCCATGCTGAAATGTTATGATCCTGTCCTTCTTCCCCTCTTCTGCAATAATTCTTTATGTCTTTGGGTGTGGGTGATCTAGATGTCCCATTTGTGGCTGAGAATTCAAATGATAATTATTCTCTGTATTTTGACCAGTTGTGAGTTTCCATTGATCAAAGAAACTTCTCTAATGTGGTTTGGAAGTTTCACTATCTTTGCGTGCACAAATGCAATCTTAGAGGTCAGTTTGATACTTCCTCCATTTAACAAATTAATAGTAGTAAATTCAAGCCTGGGGTCTGTGATTTCCCACACTCTGAGTTCCTAGCCTGATTTATAGTACCAGCTATGCTTTTCCTCTCAAGGAGCACGTTTTAAACCCAAGAATAAAGCAGTTGGTTATCCTATAGCATTCATGCCACTACTGCACATATGGACACATCTTGCTACATTGATTGTCACTGTAGCCCACAGGGTTCATAAATAAGTAGATCATAGATTTCACAACTGGGTAAAACTGTTAATGGATTTTCCTTCCAGCAGACTGCATGGCAACTTCTGGTACTATAAAAGCCAATCAAAAGATAGGAAGCTTCCTGGTCCGTACAAACCTGATTTTACCATGTCTAATGAACAATGTATATGGTGTATTCAGCAATAGGGTCTTAATATGAGTTTATAGTTGGTTACTAGATAACAATGGAAATAACCTGTATTCTTTAAGTGATCTCCAGAACACCTCTTACACAAACCTTAAAGTTTTTGTAAAAGCATTGGGTTTTTATCGGGAAGAGCATTAACTCCTACATAGAGCAACTTCAGATAATTTTTATATGAAAATATATATATTTTAAAATCTTATAAGATAGTAGTTTTCTGTATATTGTTTTCAGATATCCTTGGGTTAGTTATACCTTCCCCAACTCCCACTTATGCCCCAATTCCTCTACTCTATTAACACTTCATATCACTGTTTTAATCTTACTCTATCCCCAAGCTGTTAGAAATCTTACAAACTGGTAGATGGGCATTTATTTGGCCTTTTCAACATCCCCAAATATTTCTCTCCCTACCCTGTCCTCCACCCCTACACCCTTCCCTCCACTTATAGCTCTCTCTCCATTATTTTCCTATTCTTCTTCATATCATATGGATTTTACTACTGCCCCAAGAACTTTCTAATTAATCTGCCTGCAGATATAGTCCTGTACTGTTAATGTAAAGGGAATAGTGAGTTATACATATCAGAATTATGCTTAAAGAATAAGTTATTTTAAAAGTGGTTATCCTAAAAGCATAGACTGTATGTACTTGGTGTAGATATGAGTGCATTTGCAAAAGCTTTTAACATTTCTTTATATGCTAATTTTTTTTCTTCTTAGTTATAGGGATGCAGAAAAGAATTTCCACAATATCTCTAACAGATGCTCCCATGCAGACCATTTCAACAAAGAGGAACTTGAAGATGTCTCGGAAATTCTCCAGTGTACTGCTAATGTACTCGGTATATTAATTATACATTTATATAATTGACAGATTATAAGTGGAAGGGGAAGCAAAGATAGTAGTGTTTCATTTTCATTTAGAGAATGTAGTAGAGAATTGGAGACCAAGAACTTGTATTTAAGTATCTAGTTTTACACCTATGAAGATATTTGAGTGATAATTACAAACATGTCACTTACTTATAAACTCAAAAATATTATATCAAATTCTACATTCTGGGGAAATGTTTTAAAATATTTCTACTATGTTGGTATTAGTCTGAAATAATCCATATTTCTCTGCATCTTACCTTCACCTGAATTTTAAGATCTTTCCTTCTTCTCAAGCTTATATTTTCTTATTTCTGCTATGCCGTTGTTACACCAAATCAGTGAAGCATGTCATCTAAAGAATTCTGTGTTTGGGCTTAAGCCTAGGGACTGTGCACCTTGAAGACACAAGTATTTACCTTTAGGATTTTGGATACTCCCAGCGTGGGTAAATGTACTGTTTTACATGGAAATAGCTAGAAATTTACAAAGGTATGGGTCTACAAGAGCACTCTACGACTGATGTCACAGTAGCAATGGGTTTAACCCTAATTTTTTTTACAGAAGTTATTTAATTTTATTTTCTAATTCTATTTTGCTTACTGTTTTTGAAGTGAATTTATTTCAGTTCTTTTTGGGATTCTCATTTTTTTTTTTTATGTCTCAGAAAAAAATAGATGGTACATTAGGAGGCGAGCAATGCCTTCACCATATGTTGATTCCGTCACTTCCTACACTGAAGACTTGAAAATAGTTGCTTACCAAATTCTGGTTCTTGACCCTCTAGGAATGGGAAAAATATTTGCACTTAACATTTTTTTTTCTCATTAGTAACCACTTGTGTCTACTTTCTATCACACGGTTTGCAAAGTAGCAATACTGACTACACCATGCTTCTCAGTTTCTGTTCACCTCATGTTGGGCCCTGTGACAGCACAGCAGAGTCCCCTCAAGAGGCCCTTATTGAGGAGAAGATAGGTGTGAATTGTGCCTTCCCTGTTTGTGTCTTTGAGTGTTAAATTACTGATTTATTTGGATCATAATGTCTGTCGCATGCTGATACAGTCTAATTTTAGTTGTCCGAAAAAGATCTACTCTTTAAAGCAATGGTAACTTTCAAAGCCAACTTTCAGTTTGCATTAATGGTAAAAATATAGTTCTATAAAAGAGGACATTTTTGGTGTTTGTTGGAAAATTTACTTATTGGTTTAATAGTGTAGTGAAATGTTTATCATAAGGGCCTGTACTGTGTGTTGTTTTAAACATGCCACTTGTTACTATAGCTTGGATTTAACTAGTGCTCTAAGGTGGTAGACAGATGAGTGCAGAGAATTAAGGGAGAGAGATGACAAGCAGTGTTGTCCTCTTTGTTATAAGGAGTTAAATATCAGTATAGTTAGGACATTTTAATCTTTTAATCAGTTTTGATGCTATTAAAGGATGTGTTGGTATTTCAATTGCAAAAATATAATTGTGATAGGATCTGAGAGGTGATTTCTGAAAGGACATCCACAGTGGGTCAAGAAAGACAAATATTAGTGTTGTACATCAACTCATTTGCTGATGAATTATAGCAATATAAAGTTTGTACTTCAGTAAGTATCAATTATTGGCTAAATAGCATACAAAACAGCTTCAGACTGTCCTTGTTAATAATCTTCTCTCACAATAATTAGGAAGTGCAGGATAGGACATTCATCAACATTTTCTATGCTTTAAAGTATGTCAGGGAGGCATACTTCTTCCAAATGTTTAACACATTTAAAATCAGACTGAGAGTCTTGTCCAGGGATTGTTTTACTTGGGAATTACCAGTGAGGAGGATGGAGGAAACTATCTCAGGGCTTATTTTTTGCAATATTTTCTTGTTATCAGAAATTCTTAAATACTGTATAATCAGAGTCTTTTGGGAATGGTTACAGACTCCAGTATCTTTATTTGATATGATGCTTTTATGTTGCTGACTTTAAAAAATAATCAATTATTTTTTATGTTAACCTGTATGTACAATTATATATATATATACACACATATATATGTATATATAATGTATATATGTGGAACTGTTATAAAGTAAAAACAGTAATAAATTAGTCCTTTATTATAACTCTTTTCTTGGAATAACTGATGTATAATTAATAGGTGAAATTATTTAGTGGACTAGAATGTATTTCACATATTTAGCATCTTGGTAAAATAACTATTCACCATTTTCACTGGTGAAATAAAATTTACAGCCACAAATAAATTCTATCCATGTAGTTTTTGTCACTCTAACTTAATAAATTCTTATACTTTCTTTCTTAAAAGTATTTTGAGTATTAATGAGATGAGTTGGAATTAAAATTGTTGGAAGGATGTGATGGTTTGAATGAGAGTAGCTCCCACAGGCTCACAGATTTGAATGCTAGATCACCAGGGAGTGGCACTATTTAAAATGATTAGGAGGTATGGCCTTTTTAGAGGAAGTATGTATCTAGGCATGGACTTTGACATTTCAAAGGCCCAGGCCAAGCCCCTGATTCTGTCTCCTAGCCAGTAGATTAGAATGTTGCTCTCTGATACTTCTCCAGAACCATTTCTGCTTATGTGCTGACATGCTTCTAGCCATGATGATAATGGATTAGCCCTCTGAAATTGTAATCAAGCTCTGATTAAATTCTTTCTTTATAGGAGTTGCCATGGTCATGGCATCTCTTCACAGCAATAGAAAAATGACCACGACAAGAAATGATTGACCCATATAGTGTTATTGTAAAAATTTTGAAGCAAGGACTAGCTAGGGCCAGGATAGACTAGGAATAAATTGGACAAAATGTAATTATACATTTCCTTTCTTAAAGTTGCTAGGAAGGTTAAAATAGGTTAATTTATATAAAATGCTTAAAAATAATCTGATATGTAACATCCCATTGCTGCATTGATGTTTGTTGTTATTCTTATTGAATAGTCCTAAAATGATCTTTTCAGTAGATCTGGGTAGTCAGTTTTGTTCATTTTGTTAATAGGTAAGGAAACTCATTTTTGTTCACTTGTTAATCTTCGGTCTATCTCTGAGCAAACAAGCTACAAGGGCACTGTTTAAATCTGGGTCATTCTGATTCCAGATACCATATTTGTTATATTGCTTTTTTTCTTACTTGTTATACTGAAAGTTTCATGTAATCTCTCCAATGCTGATTATGCTAATTTATATCACCTCTCTAGTTGTGTGAGTGACCAAAGTTGTTATTATGTGGCATTTTACTTAATCCATCATTTTGTTGTTGTTGTTTTGCAACACTTTGGATTGAACTAAAAGCATCATGCATCACAGACAAGAACTTAACCACTGAGCTATATCCCCAGCCCTAATTTAACTTTTATTTAATTCAATAGTTGCCCAAGTAGGCCTTGAAGTTATTGTGTAGCTAAACCAGGCTTTGAATATTGTGATCTTCCTATATTAAACATCACAAGTAGCTATGAAAATAGGTTTGACTCATGGTCCAGCTTTGCTGCTCGTTCAAATTGAACTTGAGATACTTGCTTGTATGTAGCAGGTAGTATCAAAGCTGTCTAAGATATTTGTCATTAGTACTGAAGATTTTTCAGAGTTAGTATGGTTTGGATTATTTCCAGTCTAGAAACAATGTGAGTTTTCTTTAGCTTTAAGGTGCTAGAGATGCAAATTTAGGGTGGTAGTGTGTGCCTTCATGACACAAATGTGATTTCACACTTATGATGTGGTAAGGACAGTACTAAAACTTCTGGCCTGAAGTTTTCAAGTAGATCTTATTGTGTTAAACATGGATCAGTATGTTAAATGTTATTGGGTTTTAAAAAAATTACATAAGGCTATGTTTCTTTTTTCTCAAAAGGAATATTTTTATTAATTCTAGGGCAAATTGACACATGTAAAGAATGTATCTTGATCACATCCACCCTTAACTTCCCCTTCCCATTCCTCCCAAACATCACCAACACATTTTCCTCCCCACTTCATTTGCTTTATTTTTTTTCTTGATTGTAATCCATTGAGTCCATAAAGTACTGACTCTTGGACTTTTGACTGATATTATTGGTTCTATCTTGTCTAGGTAAACATAGCTAATGTGGCTTCATAACTGAAACGACCATTTCATGTCTGGATGATGTAATTTCACAGCACTCTCCATCTCTGAGCTTTGTATTCTTTTTGTATCTTTTCTGTGATGTTCCTTCAGCCTTAAGTAGGAGTGTTTAATATAGATATCCCACTTGATTATTCTGGTCAGTTATGATTGCCTGAATTAACTGCTGACCACTTCAGAGTTAAGCTTTGACCAAGGTTGAGGCAACATTAATTTATGTGTTTAACTGTGAATATGTGGAAGTCAGTTTAACATCTATCGAGGTAAGAGTAGTATGTTCTTCTCTAGGCCCTATGACTTCCTGAGATATAGACTTTTTTTTTTAACCAGGTTTACAATATCAGGCATGAATTCCTTCCTGTGTTGAAGGTCACAAATTCAATTAAAAAACTATTAGCATTACAGCACCTATAAGCACATCTTGGTGATAGAGTTCAATGTCAGGTAGTTCTTGTCTTTCAGCCTGTATAGAATCTTCCAGTACTATAAAAGCAAGCAAATAGGAATAAAGCTTTCAGTTTTATTCCAGCTTGATTTTTCTGTGTCTTATAATCACACACATACACACACACACACACACACACACACATATATATATATATATGAACCAGTGGAAGTGAGTTGACTATATATATATATATTAGGATCTTACTATATGATTATAGTGGGCAATCAAGAGCAGCATCAATAAGCTGTGTTGTTTTGGAGGTCTCTGGGATCCCTTTGCAATAACTACTGGTAAAGTGTTCCATGCCTGGCCCTAAGGATTTCATTTAATATTCCTTATCCTTTTTAGGGGAATTATTGTCCACACACACAGTTTATTTGTGTTCAAACGCTCCAGTTTTTTTTTAAAT